CCCCAAAACCCCAAAACCCCAAAACCCCAGTTTTTAATACTTATTGATGATCTGATGGTTATATATACGTAAATGAAGATAATCGGGTGTCTATGAGATTATTCAATGAAAATTATACAAATGAGTGCTTGCTCTATAGTGACTAATTCTTATCTTTTAGGAAAGAAGGAAGACTCAGTGGGTAAGAAATTATTCAAAGAGCTGTCTAAGCACCTATCAACCAGAGTAGAATATAAGCTTTCTCTTTACCTTGGGTCTATCCAAAATATGGTAAAGATTAAAATATGCAGGTATGTTCATGGGCATTTTGGGTACTCACCAGTCTCTTTGGTGCTAGCCTAACTCTATAGAATCGCTGAAAGTATCCAAGTGGGCCTTACCAATGAGACAAGAACTAGATCTCACTTAATCATAGTTTAATATAAAAAGTTTTTCTTCTTTTTACAGAAAACATGACTCATTATCATGAGAAAAATATTAAGGACAGAAGTTGACTTTATTGATAGAGAGAAAATAACGGTTTATCTGAGATGTCCTGAGAAGCATAATGATCCTCATATGCAGGATTCAGAAATTGTGATGAAGTTTGGGATCCAATCTATGTCCTCCAAGAATATTATTGAGCTTTCTAATCGTAGAAGATCTGCCCAGATTAATAAGAATTGATGATTATATGAAATAAAACACTAGAGAGTAACAAATCTGAAGGATTTAATCAACAAAATAATCTTCTTGATTTCTCTGATGATGAAATACTAGACCAACTAGAAGCCTCACCAGGAAAATAAAGAATATTCTTGATATTAATGATCTGGTATACTTGATTAGTCTACATCCAAATGTGGCTTTTGACATTACTTAGATATCTAAATTGAAAATTTGAAATTTCCCTTTATTGAATTGATCCTAGTTAACAATCCAAAAACCCGAGGCAAAATTGAAGTCTATGGATTTAGGATATCTCACTCTTGATGAAATCTCCAAGTTGGTCCCTGTATCCGCAAACTTAGACCTGATCTTAGACGAGCCATGAGTCTGAGTATGGATTTATGGTCTTAACATCCCAAACTACCAATAATCTTCATATGATAGTGATATAACCAGAGAAAGCTAAATTAGTATTAAAACAATAAGAAAGAATATAAGCTTTCACTCATCAAAAGCCCCTTCCTATGAGATGCTTTTGTTCATTTTTAATCAATAAAAAATAAAAGGCAATTACTCAATTTCTAATAAGAAAGACAAGTTTTTACTTGTACACTTCCTAAACCAAAGTAGTTCTCCTAAATTTTAAGAATTCTCCCTTAGCAATGTGTTTCAAAACATTAAAGACTCTATTGGGATAGGAAAGCATGGAATAAAGATTAATTTTTTTTTAGAAAGTTACTGCACTGTTTTAGGACTGAACAATAAGAACACTTTCAGAAGTGAGACAGTAAGAGTTGACAAAATTACTAGAATTTCACAAAATAGAAATCAAAAGATACTTATGCCTTCTGCATTAAAAGTGTCAAGAATTGTATTAAGAATATTTTCAAAAGAAAATAATAGAAGTAGTAGTCGCAAATCCATTACCAGTTAAAGAATGAGTATAGAGCATAAAGGAAGTTTAGGAAGATTAAGGAATACTATTGGTCATTCTAACTAGGGTATTTCCTCTGGGATTAGACAATCCAGCGATAGAAACCCATATCGTCCTGAAAATATAAGGATCAAGTTGATTTCAGAAAACATGGAGAATATCCAAACAAACATCTAATCTCAAAGAGGAAGAAATAGTTCTCTCTATTCATATGTCCAATGACTACGTATGGAGTGATGACGATGACCAGATCTAATACTTTAATAGATGTATTTCCTAATGCATCCAATGAATTTAATAAGAGGAGTTTTTACAAGCTCATAAGATGCCTCATGTAAGAGGGAGTTATAATCCTCTAAAGAATCAGAGAGATGATTCTTCAAGAGAAGACAACCTTAAGCAAGGAGAAAGCAGACTAGAGACACTTAGTATCTCTTGCCCAAGTAGCAAGAATACCGATAGCTCTGATATGGTTCTTAAAGGAGATGTTACTCCTTCGATGAATAAAAACTACTCTCATGTTGAAACTAGTCATCAGACATTGAGATTCAATGAGTTACTTAAAAAGCAAACTAGTGATAATTCTGCAAACAACATGAGATACAGAATGAACGAAATACAATCAAATTTCTTGGAAATAATGAATCCTAAAAATTCTCCTGACGCCAACAGATACTAGAATAAAGTCAGTAAATACCAAGATATGCATTCCAAGATGCAGGAAGATAAAATACGAGTACTTGAGAGAGAAGTATCAACTCTCAAAGAAAAGCTTATCTATTATGAGAAGAACTATAAATTCCAAAAGTCAACATCATATACTTGAATAAGTGTAGAGGAGCTTGAACTTTCTTCAAAAATGGACCAGAATTTCCTTAATTCTTTAGAGCCCAGAGAAGATCTAATTAGGTACAAAATTTGAAGAAAATAAAAGCCTTAAGAGTACAGGAGAGTTTTGATTTGTCAAACTAAAGAATCCTGACCAGCTGGGCTTAGATGAATCTACAGAAAGTGAAGAAGATTCTTCAGATGTTCCAATGAAATACCCTTCTTCTCAGAAAAACGAGTGTCAAAGTCAATCTAACAAACAAGAGCAGCAGAGTAATAAAATTTATAATGAGACAGATTTGGCTGAGAAGGTTTTCAATGTTGACTTTAACCTCAGTAATAGTAACATCGGTAAGTTTTTTTCATCAATATTAGGTTCAACTCCTTTAAAGAATGCTCTTGGAAAATTACCTTTGCTTGATAAAGATGAGACAGATTCCTTGTTCAAATCTAAACAGAAGGGAAGTCCTTTGAACTCAGAAGAAAATAATAACTCCATGTACAACTACAGAATGATCAATCCCATGGACCAAAGTGGATTTACTCCAGATTCTGCGGGAAAGAGCGCAAATAGATATACAGAGAAATCTGGACAAGAATGAACAATAGAGATTCCGAGAATGGAGAACTTAGATGGTTGCTAATCTAGCAACAAGTATTATTTTGAGAGTTCTAGATACTAAAATAATGTTAACCTCTAGAATTCTTTATAACCATCCAGCTAATTGTATTGATAATGACATGCTCTTAAGTATGCTTTAAATCAGATATTTTATTAGCCTTTAAGAGAGGTTTTTAGAATTCAGTTTGATGTTAGACGAAATTTTATCAGTACCATTAATGGTTTTTGATAAATATACCAATTTGAAATTCAATTCATTGCAAAGGAAGAGGGGTTTTGGGGTTTTGGGGTTTTGGGGTTTTGGGG